AGATGTACCCTGCCAGCCCCAGGGCAGATGACATGGCCAAGCCTGCAGGTGCAAGTAAGAATGGGTGAGGTTTGAATGACTTGTGAAAGCCACTGCTGAAAAAGACTTTTCTGAAATGCAAGAAGAGTGTTGGGAAGATTTGTTCGGAAGAGGACAGGGAGATGGATAGAGCCCAGGAAATCAGGAATCCCAGAGCTCCCAGGTACCTTAGGGAGGCTGAGCTATTTTGCATTCGAATGCTGCGGCAGTAGCCAAGGTGTCAGAACCTCGGTTCATTCCTGTGTTCCAAGAGAAGAGATGAACACGATGACTACCTAGGTAAATGAGGCAAAGCCGGCTCCAGCCTGGCCCCTCACAGCCGGAGCTCAAGGGGCTTTCTCTTGATATTGTTTCTTGGGTCTGCCCTTGTGTCCAGTGTTTGAAACTTGAGTTTTCTTTTGCTTTAAAAATTGTGACAAGCAAGACAGATCCTCCATAACAAGTGCAGATGGTACAGATGTGTGTGAAAGAAGCAGGTGGTGTCTAATCTTCCTTCCCACCTCTGCCCCTGTCCTTGCAACCCCCTCCCAGAGAGACTACCCCTGCAGGTTGGTGTTTTAGTTTTGTGGGTTGTGTGTGTGTGTGTGTGTGTGTGTATAGGAGGAGGAGGATAGTCTTTTTCTATGGAATACAAAGGCTTTTCCAAGTGTGTGTTAAAAAGGTCTATTTCCAAAATGTGACCCATGTTAGGAGTCTTAGCAACCAGGAAGGTAAGCGTGCTGGTTCCACTTTATGTGACTTCCCTACAGTGTGGCTGGCAGGGCTCTTGACCTTGGCCTACAAAACACCTGAGCTGTCTGTAATTCTTCATTCATGTTCACTGGGGAGAAAAATGAGAAAGGTACAGGTGACCTTCAAAGGCACTTGAACAGGCAAACCTCCCAGATAAGCTTTGCTTTCCCTAGGTTAGGGCCACCGTCACCCATAACAGCTGATGAGAATCATCTAATATGGAAGCGTTCAGGCCTGGAAGACGGGCATTTAATTGTGACTCTCAGCTTGCTTTGCCCAGAGCAGCTACCAATGTTATCTGGACAGGCTGGTGCCCAGAAAGGAGGCAGCCCGGGGCTTTTTCTTCCCCCTGGGCCTCCCGTTCCTACCCTCTAGAGGTATCCCTCTGGGATCTCTCTCTCTCCCACCCTGTGCTGTTTAACATCTCCAACACCTGTGGACACAAAGGTATCAGAGCTATTTTCACTATGCTAATACCTTAAAATATTTCTGTGGGTTATAAGTGGAACCAAATACATTCTAATTCTTCTGGCTTTTTTCACTAGATGATGAAAGCTTGAATAGCAGCTGTAAATTATCTTCACTGAAATCTATACAGCTCTCAGCACACACACAGACACGCACACATATGCATGCACACACATACATGAAAACAAATGGTACTATTCACAGCAGTGAATCACCATCAGCTTGGAATGTGGCCCGCTTATTGAAATGGAATAAGCAGCTTTTTAAGAAGAATTACAGAAAGAAAGATGACAGAGAGAATCTTCTACATGCTGGTTTACTTCTCAAATGGTCACAATAGCCAGGGCTGAGCTGATTGGAAGCCAGGGACCAGGAACTCTATCCCATAAGGGTCTCCCATATGAGTAAGCAGAGGTCCAAGCAGTTGGGGTGCCTACTGCTGTTTTCCCATGTTCATTAGCAGAGAGCTGGATCAGAAAGGAAGCCATCAGGACATACGGGATGCCAGCATTATAGGCAGTGGCTTAATTTGTGGCGCCAGAATGGTAACCCGAAGCAAGCTTTCATAAACACAATCCTCCTAGCAAACAGAAATCCCAGACTAAGGTAGAACAGTCAAGTCCAAACCTTCTTGACTTGACCCCAATGACCTGAAGTAAAGCTCTTACAGTCCTCAATTTGCATGTGACACAATCCTACATGGACACCGGTTTGTATTCAAGCTGTTTCTCTGCCCGCCCAGCTCCCTGCTTGTGGCCTGGGAAAGCAGTTGAGGATGGCCCAAAGCCATAGGACCCTGCTCCCATGTGGGAGACCCGGAAGAAGCTCCCGGTTCCTGACTTTTCAGATTGGCTCAGCTCTGGCGGTTGTGGCCACTTGCGGAGTGAATCAGCAGACAGAGATCTTCTGTCTCCTTCTCTCTGCAAATCTGCCTTTTAAATAAAAGTAAATAAATCTCTCAATAATAAGTTCCAATTAGCAGCTGTATGTGGATCTGTAGGATGATCCCGTAGGTTGTGTGGCATCAGCAGAGAATGGCTGTTTCTGAAGCAGGAGGTTCAAGGTCATGTGAAGTCAAAGTGGTTTGCCCTCTTCTGTCCAGGATCTTCATGTCTCTGGCCAGTCTCTGCTTCTTCCTTAGCTGATGATGGAGGACACCACGGAGGTCTCTCTCCTGCTACTTTCATTCTAGCCCCCACTGGCTGCTATGCTTTCTGTGTTTGTTTTGGCCTTCTCTACAACTCCCTAATCAGGTCGTATATAAGCCTTGGCATTGCACAGTCCTGGCTTGACCTCTGGGCCGATGCCTCAGGATGAGTATTGGCCGACTATCCCTTAGCTGTGGATGCTCACAGCATCTGCACAGGTGCTGTGAGCTACAGGCTAAGCACGTGACCAAGGAACAACAGCTGGAATAGCGGCTGGCAGCACTGCAAGCTGGGGCACTATTTTCAAGCCGCCATCAGAGTGTTATGTGTCTCTTGCACACTTTAGAATTTCTGTCAATTCCACTCAAGGTGAAAGGGCAAGAAGGCACCAACAGACCCCAGGGAAGTTGGGTGGCTCCCTCAGCAGTTCATGACCTGCTTACTCTCTAGAATATTTCATTAGTTATTTTTTTGATATTTGATGAATCAACTTTTAGAGATAGTGAACATTTATAAGGCAAGGATCACTGGTACATTAAGATTTTTCTGCTCTGTGTTTCCTAAGAGTTGTAAAAAAAAAAAAAAGTTGTAAAAACCTGGCACTGTAGCCAAGTAATTAAAATCCTGCCTTGCATGTGCCAGGATCCCATATGGGCACAGGTTCTAATCCTAGCAGCTCCACTTCCCATCCAGCTTCCTGCTTGTGGTCTGGGAAAGCAGTCAAAGACAGCCCAAAGACTTGGGACCCTGCACCCATGTGGGAGACCCAGAGGAGGCTCCTGGGCCTTGGCTTTGGGTCAGCTCAGCTCTGGCCGTGGTTGTGGCCATTTGAGGAATGAACCAGAGGATGGAAGATCTCTCTCTCTCTGTCTCTCCTTCTCTCTATAAATCTGACTTTGCAATAAATATAAATAAAAATCTTTTTTAAAAATGCAATTTCTTTTTTTAATATTTATTTATTTTTATTGCAAAGTCAGATATACAGAGAGGAAAGGAGACAGAGGGGAAGATCTTCTGTCTGATGATTCACTCCCCAAGCAGCTGCGCTGATCAGAGCTGCGCTGATCTGAAGCCAGGAGTCAGGGGCTCTTCCAGGTCTCCCACACAGATACAGGGTCCCAAGGCTTTGGACCATCCTGGACTGCTTTCCCATGCCACAAGCAAGGAGCTGGATGGGTAGCAGGGCTGCCAGGACACAAACTGGCACCTATATGGGATTCCAGGTATGCAAGGCAAGGACGTTAGCCACTAGGTTACTTCACCAAGCCCCAAAATGCAACTTTAATGCCCTGAGGCAACAATAATTTGTCCTGTTCTAAAAGCCTTGTGAATTGGTAGAATTGGTAGTAGATGAACATTACCAGGAAAAAAAAAAAGCCATAGTTTTTTGGAAAAGGTTCAGTAAGTCCTTAGTGCAATATTTTTATTTCATTATTCCCTAAATTGTTTTCCTCTAATCTTTCCCTCCTTCCATCTTTCAACAGAAAAAAAAAAAAAAAGCCAATGCCTCCTACCAGAGGAAGAATCTGCTTCCTGGTGGTTAGAGCACCACCTTGTGGCACTTACAATTTCATGTATTTCTATTTATTATTTGAAAGGCAGAAAGATTTCCCCTTGACTGTTTTACTTCTCAAGTGCCCACAGCAGCCAGGCCTGGCCAGGCTGAGGTCAACAGCCCAAGCTCAACCCAGGTCGCATGTGGTGGCAGTGACCTAAGTGCTTGACATCCCACCGGCTTCCTCATGAGGAGTGCTTTAGCAGAGAGCTGGAATGGAAGGAGCCATGCACTCTGATTTGGGCTGCCGATGTCCCAAGCGTTATTGTCACTGCTGCATCAACTCAGTGGTGTGCCCATTGTCCCCTCTGAGGAGCAATAAATCCACATTGCCAGTTCTGCGACTATAGGCATACGTAGTGTAAGTTCTTCTTATTCATTTTAGTAAACATTTCCTCTTGGGCATGTCGTTCATTAACATCCTTCAGTTTTATCTACTTAAATTTTGTGGGTCTCTCTTTCTCTCGACCGCCATCCTGTGTGTGTGTGTGTGTGTGTTGTAACCACATAGTTTCATTTGTACGATAGTCAAAGGAACCATTTCTATGGTGCCGCTGGCTCACTGTGAGTCAGTTGGAGTCCCATTTGCTTGCTGGTTTGAGTCCCAACCTCTCTACTTCTGATCCAGCTCCCTATTAGTTGCTGGAAAGCTGGGGGAAATTTCCCAATTGTTTGAGCCCCTTTCACCCAGATGGGAGACCTGGTTGGAGTTCCAGGCTCCTGGCTTCAGTGTGGCTGAGTTCCAGCCCAACTGTTGTGGCCATTTGAGGAGTAAATCAGTGGGTGGAAGAACTCTCTTCCTCTCTCTGTCACTCTGTCTTTCGAATAAATTAATTAATCTTTAAAAAAAGATAGCCACATATATCCATTTGAATCAGTTGATTATTAATTGATATTAAATATCAGTAACTGACATTATTTATTCTATGTAATATCTTCTGAAACTTAGTATCTTCATTCTTCCAGCAGCCAATGAAAACTGCATAGCTGCAAGTAGTACCACAAGTGATCCAACCACTCCCTCCAGCAACACAGCCTTTAGCTCCGAGCACTCCAGAATGAACACTGACACCGCAGCTTCCTCCCCAGGCACCAACTCCCGCGAAAGTCGTGACTCCTCTTCAAGCACCAGCTCCCCCACAACTATTGAAACCACTGAAAGCACCAACTCCCCCACAAATATTGAAATCACTGCAAGCACGAACAATTCCACAAGCACCGACCCCCCGACAACCACAGACAATACCACAAGCACCGACCCCCCGACAACCACAGACAATACCACAAGCACCGACCCCCCGACAACCACAGACAATACCACAAGCACCGACCCCCCGACAACCACAGACAATACCACAAGCACCGACCCCCCGACAACCACAGACAATACCACAAGCACCGACCCCCCGACAACCACAGACAATACCACAAGCACCGACCCCCCGACAACCACAGACAATACCACAAGCACCGACCCCCCGACAACCACAGACAATACCACAAGCACCGACCCCCCGACAACCACAGACAATACCACAAGTGTGAACAACACTACAGTGATGACAACTAACCTCCCTACAAGTCCTGGCACCACAGCTGCAGGTAATGTACTAACCACAACTACTTTTCCACTGCCAAGTAGCAACATTCAGAAAAATCATGTCTTGGGGCCTACTAGGCCTACAGCAGGGGACAGGTACAGCTAACCCTGGCCCTATAAAGTCAGGAAAGCAGCTGGTATGGCCTTGGCAAGGCCATTGCAAGTGGAATTCCAAATTCAATGTATCTGTACCCTTGTGATTTTGAAGTTGATAGTATGATATGGCCTGCTTTTAAATCTAAATGGCCATTGGCAGAAAAAAGGTTCCCTGCCCTGCTGGACAGTGCCAACACTAGCACTTCTTCCCAGACCAGCAGCGCAGCCACCAGTTCCACAGAATCTTGCCCTCAGATTCTTTAGTGTAGGAGGCAGGGTGAGTGTGTTCTGGTGTGGTAAGAAAATTAGTAGAGGTACCTAAGATTTCCTTGGATGTGAACAGTGGGCTTAACATCTTAACCCTGAAGTTAAGGTGATGGCTGATCACAGTTTGGAATGTGAACCAAGTCATGAAATTTGAGCCCAAAGGACCAAAAAGTCAAACAATAGCAGAGGTCAAAATGGTCCTGGGCAGGGCAAAAGCCAAAGTCCAAAAGGATCTTTCGGGGATATACCTAAGAGGTAACGATTGAGCTCACACTGAATTTACTGACACAGACCAGTTGTCTCATTTCCCTAAGTGTGTTCTAGAACAGAGGCCAACAAACTATCAGTGAGGGATACATACTATTCTAGGTCTTATGGACAACATGGGTTCTCTGTTGAACTGAAACACTCTGCCTTTTTTTTTTTTTAGCAGCAGCCATAGTTGTACTCCAATAAAACTTTATTTACAGAAGCACAAAGGTGGTTAGACATGGCTCATGAGCCACAGATTCTGGAAGAATCGTCAAACCTAAAAGCTTGAAAATAGAGATAAAAAAAGAAAAACTCATTCTTAGGCAGAGAAGCTGAGGTTCCATGAGTGCAGTGAGGGCAGCAAGGGCAAGTTGGTCTCTCCCACATGCTCCTGGGGTTTTTCCCGGTGTTCTTCAGCAGATCTACGAAATGGATGGATAAGCAGATAGCCCAGAGCCTTTATCAGATCTTTCACGTCTGAAGGGACCACTCTGAAGCCTAGGTCAAGTGGGATACAGCTAAACCATCAACTCTACTAGAATCAGGAAAGGGAGAATTTCCAAGCCCTGCCTCCCTAGACATACTCTCAGAGTACGGCAGTCTTCTTACACCCTGACCACACCACCAGCTATGGGGGATGGGGCAAATCACTTCTGTCTTAGCATCAGCATACTTCTTGGTAATAAGATGGAGCTGAGCTAAAGCACCACCCAAATCCCTTGTAGCTGTAGTGTCCTGTTCCTGGCTACAGAATGAGCTATGAGCTTGTCCTTCACGGCTGATGGGAAAGCACAACAAAGTTTCATGGATTTCTTCCCAAAAGAAGCTGTGCTCAGTTTCTCCTTTAGGATTTTCCAAACCAACAGTGTCTACACATAGGTTTGTAAGAATATCAAGATAACCCTACAGGTTGGCCAACACTGAAGAAACTCTGGAATCAAGACTTGAAAACGATTTCACTTGAGAGAAGTGATGAAAATGATCCATCTGGATCCACCATTTAGCAGTCACCACCTGAATTTCCCTCTCCAGGTTCAACCCATTCTCTGCAGAGGTGGCTAATGGCACTCGGCCTGACCCAGGAGTCTCGGCCAGTGACGTGGGAACCATAGCAATGTTCCTCTCCCTCTTTGTCCAAGTCAGTCATGCAGAAAGCCGGGGACTAGAGTGACTCCTCACCTCCTCCCAGAATCTTCACTGGGTTAGTTCTGCCTGTTGCAAATCTTTCCCATTTCTTCAGGGATACCATGTGCAGTAACTAGAAAAGGACATTCCATTTCTTTCTGGAGCTTCTTAACTACCTCTCCCTCTAGGAACATTATTCAGAACTTAAAAAAATAATAATAAGGCTCCATCTCAAATGGTTTGGGGGAGTCCTAGCTTGATTAGAGGGTCAAGATCTAAGGTTCTAGACAGTTCTGGAGGTCTAAAGATTGTCTTCTTGGAATCAGAAGGTCTCCCTTTCTTTTTCCCTGAGCAAGTTCTCATCCTCTCAGCTCTAGCCTCTACTGTCCACAGAAACTTGGCTCTAGAACTTCTATAACAGGTTCTGTAGAGACATAAGGAAGTGTGTTCTAAGGGCATGCTGTAGAGTAACATGGTCAAGGAATGAAAAGGGCCTGGGAGGGAGGCATGGGGAGTGGAAATAATGGTTCCAGGTGTGATCACTTCTGCACATTTGTCATCTCTTTCTATCCTAAGGTCCCAGCGATCCTTGCAAAGATAATCCCTGTAATGGTAATTCTTCATGTGTGCCCTTGAACACCACACGTTTTTGCCTGTGTGTTGAAGGATATTACTATAACTCTCAGACATGTCAGAAAGGTGAGTTACAAGGGATAAACCATGACAAAATTCTGTATCCTATATCTAAAGGGGGAGAGATAAGCCAAGGAATGATAGCAAAAGAGAGAGACTGCAAAATATGAGGAGGAGACAAGTGGGGAGCAGTGTGAGCCAGCCAAGTGGAGATGTGACTCCTGCCTTTATCCTGGTGCAGTGATGTAGGAGAGGTCACGGAGCCAGTGGGTGCTAGCCTTGAAGGTCCTGAGAGGGCGCATGCTCCTGAGAAGTGAGGTGGCACAGAGTGTTGCTACAGGGGACACTGAGACCAAGGCTCATGTGCCTGAGATGCACAGGCAGGACAGGAAGTCGGAACCTCTGCCCTTGGCTCCATTCTCCCTCTTGGGACTTGTTTACTCCCTAACAGTAGACACTACTTTAGAAGTGTTAAGAGCCTCTCAACTCTGGAAATGGCCTGCAGGGACCAACTGATGCACACTTGGCATAGTCTTTTTGATGGCTCATTCTGTTCTTCTTTAAAAAATAAAAAATTTGTTTTTTAATTTGAAAGTCAGATTTACAGAAAGAAGGAGAGACAAAAAGAGAGGATCTTCCATCCACTGGTTCACTCCCCAAACGGCTGGAGCTGAGCTGATTCAAAACCAGGAGCCAGGAGCTTCTTCTGGGTCTGCCATGTGGGTGCAGGGTCCCAAGGCTTTGGTCCATCCCCACTGATTTCCCAGGCCACAAGCAGGGAGCTGGATGGGAAGTAGAACAGCCAGGACACAAACCAGCAGCTATGTTGGATCTTGGCACTTGAAGATAGAAGAGTAGCCATTGGATCACCACACTGGCCCCAATTCTATTTACTGTTAATATTCTTTTTTGTGGTGTCAAATGTTTTGATTCACGTTTCTGTTATGACAAATAAATTCATGTAAGAATTAAATTTACTAACAAAGATTACTCCAGTAATTAGAAGATACTAACAGTGCTATTTCAGGTAAAGGCCTTTAGTCAGATAAGCTGCATTAAATAGAAGTATCTGTTCATGATCAGTTAGCTGCTAATATACACAAATTTAGGTTCATCATACTTTCCTCCATTTATTAACTATTCTAATAATTTTTCAAAGAAATTGTAAGAAAAATGCATGCATCATCATTAAATTGCATGTTATTTCTTACTCAAAGAGATGATATAAAATTAAAATCATATTGTAAGAATAAGTATCATTTTTTAATTTTTGTTTTACTCAATTTTATAAATGTATGCTAATGAACACATTAATTCTGATTTTTTTTTTAACAAGGGATTTATCCCTGTGGCACAAAGCTCAGATCATGTGGCTGCTGTGCAGGTCCAGCGCCTGTCTGACTCTGAATTCCACAATATTTCTTTATCTGTTTAATGAATGCTTTGCCAGAGCAGATTAATTATATAGGAAATGAATGTGTTGCATTGCCCACAGGGGGTAGGAATAAGAGAAAAAGAGTTCATGTTCTCAGCACTCATGCTGCATTGTCTGGGAATCCACTCTGAGCGGGTGATCCCAAATCCAAAACAATCATGCATTGTAACTCTCTCCACCTTTGAAGTCATTAAGAGCAGAAAGTCTAACAACAAAAAATCATTTTTGTCAACAAAAGGACCTACAGTTAATTTAAGTCATGCAACCTTCAAACATGGTGGTTATGAAGAGTAGGCAATGATTTGGCCAGTTGCTTGTTATGTGATAGTAAATACAAAGATGCATGATATAAACAGAATTTCACAGAGTAAACTCTGAGAGCAAGGGCTGGGAAAAACAAGCCATCGTGGAAAAGGTTGTGTTAGGTTGCCTGGGTTATGGGTAACAATTTATTGTGTTTTTCATTTTATATAATCATCATGCAATATTAAGAAGTTTACAAAATGATCTGTTTTGGAACAACTTGAAAATAGACCCTGTTTGCATTAAATGGTGTGTCTTTCAGGAAGGACATTCCCTGGTGAGATTACACTAAAAAACCAAGAAATATCTGGCTGGGAAAATAAAACTTCCGCAGTTTATCAAGACCTACATCAAAATGTTACCGAATTTGTAAGTATTTTGTCCCTTCCATTTGGCATCAGTCTCTTGTCGCCCTGAGCTGCCCTGTGAAGGCTGTCAGCAGGTGGCACGCCCTGACTCCATAGTACGCTTGTTCCAATAGTGAAGTGCATCCCTACTATGAGATGCACAATGGCTGTCCTGATCCGCCCTGAGCAGTGCTTCCTACATGTCCAGGCCCCTCCTAGGTACCCTGGACCTTCCCCTGGGCTTGCACCTAGGGGCAGAACACCTGGCATGCTGACATCACAGAGGGCCATGTTGGTCTTTGTCTTCATTCATGCCCATTGTTACGTATGCTATTAATGTGGCTTAAACTGCACAAGTAAGTTTAAGAATATTTTGCTTTAAAGATTTATTGGTTTGAAAGACAGTTACACAGACAGAGCCCAGCGGCATGGCCTAGCAGCTAAAGTCCTTGCCTTGAACACGCCCAGGATCCCATATGGGCGCCGGTTCTAATCCCAGCAGCTCCACTTCCCATCCAGCTCCCTGCTTGTGGCCTGGGAAAGCAGTCAAGGACGGTCCAAGGCTTTGGGACCCTGCATGGGAGGTTCTCGGCTTCGGATCAGCGCAGCACTGGCCGTTGGCGTCACTTGGGGAGTGAATCATCGAACGGAAGATCTTCCTCTCTGTCTCTCCTCCTCTCTATATATCTGACTTTGTAATAAAAATAAATAATAATAATACAAAAGACAGTTACACAGAGAGAGGAGGAAGGTCTTTCATTCACTGGTTCACTTCCCAAGTGCACACAATGATAAGAGCTGGGCCAGATGGAGCCAGGAGCTTCTCCTGAGTCTCCCACATGTTGCAAGGGTCCAAGCTCTTGCACCCATATTCTGCTGCTCTGACAGGTGCATTAGCAGGGAGCTGGATGGAAAGAGGAGCAGCTGGGATCTGAATCAGTATCCATATGGGATGGCAGCATCAGAGACAGTGGCTTTGTACCACTACACCACACCAGTCCCAAGTTTAAGGATATTTTTTTAGAAGATTTATTTTTATTGGAAAGTCAGATATACAGACAGGCGGAGAGACAGTGAGGAAGATCTTCCGTCCAAGTGACCACAATGGCCAGTGCTGCACCAACCCGAAGCCAAGAGCCAGGAACCTCCTCCAGTTCTTCCTCACAGGTGCAGGGTCCCAAGGCTTTGGGCCATCCTTGACTGCTTACCCAGGCCACAAGCCGGGAGCTGGATGGGAAGTGGGGCTGCCAGGATTAGAACCGGTGCCCATAAGGGATCCCAGTGCTTTCAGGGAGAGTACTTTAGCCACTAGGCCACGCCAGGGGACCCAGTTTAAGGATATTTTAAAATAAAATATTTCTACAGGAACAAAGAGAAAAAAAAATAAAGCTATTGATTTTTCCTTTGTGCATTGAAACTTACACACATTTCCATATTAGTCTTATTTTTTATTTAATAACTGAAGAGGAAACGTTGATGCATCTGAATTACCACGTTCCCCCTTTTTCCCCTTCGAGATGAAGGACAGCTTCATTTCATGTAGGTCCTTGTGATTGTTGTGTCCTATGAAAGGAGGGGAGTCTCTCCCCCGGAGCCGCAGAAGCCTGACCTGCAAGGGATGGTAGAGGATGTCCAATAAGTGCTCCTCATAAGTCAATTTTAAGGGGGAAAAAATACCAGTCTTGACTCTGTCATAAAATTCCACGTGTTCACTTTTTAGCCATTGGAATCTTTTTTTTTAAGATTTATTTTTATTGGAAAGGCGGATATACAGAGAGGAGAGATAGAGAGGAAGATCTTCCGTCTGATGATTCACTCCCCAAGTGAGCGCAATGGCCAATGCCATGCCGATCCGAAGCCAGGAGCCCTTTCTGGGTCTCCCACGCGGGTGCAGGGTCCCAAAGCTTTGGGCCGTCCTCGACTGCTTTCCCGGGCCACAGGCAGGGAGCTGGAATGGGAAGTGGAGCTGCCGGGGCTAGAACCAGCGCCCATATGGGATCCCGGGCGTGCAAGGCGAGGACCTTAACCACTTGCACCATCGCGCCAGGCCCTAGCCATTGAAATCTTAATGGATAACAATAACTTTCATTTAAGATTATGTCACTACAAAAGAGTTATATTACTAGAACTGACAAACAAGAATTTTAAAAACCCAGAGATGATTCTACAGATAGTTCAGTGGGAGCAAGTACTCCTGACTGTCCATCCCTGAAGCTCTCTTTTACATCTGACAAGATAGACAATTGAAAATATGTTCCATGGGTCACTTGATGAATAAATGAAGCATAAACATAGGCAAGAATAATATATATGTAAAACTTAATATGCAGCATCGTCTCACTTTAAATAATATGATCATGGATTTCACTGGGTGTTTTAAGCTTCCATCCTTTGCTGCATAATTGTGACTTATCAGAGTCTTAATAATATTTCACAGCAAAGATACTGAAAAGTATTGGGGTGTATGTCAAGACCAAAAATCATCTGTTAATAAATGAGGTTAGGGCCCAGCGCAGTGGCGCAAGTGGTTAAGGTCCTCGCCTTGCACGCCCAGGATCCCATATGGGCGCCGGTTCTATCCCAGCAGCCCCGCTTCCCTTCCAGCTCCCTGCTTGTGGCCCAGGAAAGCAGCAGAGGACGGCCCAAAGCTTTGGGACCCTGCACCCGCGTGGGAGACCCGGAAGAGGCTCCTGGCTTTGGATCGGCATGGCATTGGCCGTTGTGCTCACTTGGGGAGTAAATCATCGGACGGAAGATCTTCCTCTCTGTCTCTCCTCTCTGTATATCCACCTTTCCAATAAAAAAATAATAAAAATAAATCTTTAAAAAAATAAATGAGGTTATAAGGTTATGCTGAAGCTACATAATCATCCTTAAAATTCGTTTTTAACTTGTTACTGAACCTTTTCCTTCCCACAGTTTAAAGATGCGTTAAACGGTGCTGATTATGGACAGACTGTCATTCTAAAAGTAAGGTGAGTTGACTGGGCAGCAGGGTACTTGGGAGGCATGTATGTTTGACTAACTTCTGGGTCTGTCTTGAGCTGCCTGAGGAAGTCCCAGGGCCTTCTTGTAACAAGCCTGAGTCCAGAAGAGGTGACCAGTCAGATTTACAGACGGGGCCGTGTGCCTTGGCCTGCCTCTGATGTCACGGGGACGTTGGGCCTGAGTGGACAGTATGTGGCCTGGGGTCAACCAGATGTTATGTGTGGTTGGCTACTCAGCAACGTGTGCATGTGGTCCAGCGCATCCTCTGGGTCAGGGTTTCACCTTCATTCCTTGGCTACACATCTCATGGCTGTCAACTCCTGGAATGTGTATGCTGGGGGCGTGAGAGAAAAGGGAATGGCTCAGAGCCATTCCTTCCCTGAGGTGGAGGAGGGAGGGAAGAACGCCCACACCTGGCTGCTGCAGGACCAGGAGGGCTGTGAGACCAAGCGTGGCTTAGACTCTACGTGAGCATGAGTGCTGAGCACTCTTTAGGAACACAGCAGATTCCCAAGCAGTCAGTGATTGTTTCCCAGTCTCTTTCTCTGAAACGTGTTAACACACAAGTTCTCTGGCCAAGGGAAGAATGCGCTAGGTGAGTGGCATCGTAGCCTGATGCAGAAGTTTTACTGTTGCACCTATCCTTATAAATCACATCAAGTCCTTTGTGGAGTAAGGGTACCTGCATAGTCAGCCTTCCACAGCCACAGGTTCTGCATCCATGGACTTAACAACCATGCATCAAATAAATTCCCTTAAGAGAAATTGTGTAGCAGACCTACGCAGACTCTTTCCCTTGTCCTGTTCCCTAACAATTATTCCAGGAGCGTTGATACTGTCTTGGTTATTCTAAGTGGTCTAGAAATAGAATACATGGGAGGATTGCGCAGGTAATATATTAGCACTGTGACACTTTACCAAGGACTTTAGAGATTCTGTTATCCATGGGCAGTCTGAAATCAGTCCTCCATGATTGCCCAGGGATGGCTCTGTGTGTGTGTGTGTGTGTGTGTGTGTGTGTGTGTGTGTGTGTAGTTTATAACTGTATAAAATGTCGCAGGTGACTTTGTAAAGGTGGCCAGCTTCATGTTGGTCTTGAATGAGGGAGAACTTGATTGGCAGCTGGGGGGTCTTTGCATGATGAGGGGTGGGCAGCAAGCAGGAGCTGGCCACAAGTGCCAAGGATTCCAAAGCTGGAGAAATACAGAAGCCAACAGAGGTTGGAGGACTGTGGGTGACTTCAGGGTTTGAGGTTTGGTGTAGCAGGCAGCAGACGGCCAGTGTGCATGGGAGACCAGATGGCAGCAGAACAGTGCGGTGTGATGTCAGGTAGCACTGGACTTCATCCTTGGCCTTGACCCTTGCTGGTTGCATGGCCAGACAGGAACTCTAACCCCTCTAGGTTGCTACTCTGTCTGTGTCATGGGGATAATCTGGTCAACTTCCTTGGCCCATGTTAAGGATTAGTCAGTGAGGTCTCGTTTATGAGATTCCCTGGAATGTTGTCAACTTTACCACCAGCCTGATTCTTTTCCAGATCAGAGATTCTGTAGACTTCTGGAGAGCTGGCTAGGGGAGTCCCCAAAACTCTGGTACTCCTTTTATTCTTGAGCAGTTGCTAAAAGGAGCCAAGGGCATTTGGAAGCAAGCCAACCTTTACCTGTGAGCCCAGGTCAGGGAGGGCAAGTACTTCCCCAGCCTGGGGGGCCACTGCAGGGTAAATGGGCCTGGATCCCACCTAGCAACAGAGGCTCCAGCCCAAGATTAGCTCTCTCCTTTGAACCCACACTCTCTACTTGCTGTACAGATGTTGGAATTGAAAGGGTCAGAATTTTACTCTCCCAAACCTCAAATTGAACCAAAGAGGAAGCTCAGGTTTGGAGAAACTAGGAGTACTCTTGGGCCACAAAAGATAGTTAGAAATCGTTGGTGGTCAGCTTGGGTCTAGATGCCCTCTCTTAACTCCAGGTCTAGGATTGTAGTCAATTACAATTAAATATACTGTCAGCCATCCTTCTTTTCATGGTTCCAAGGGTATTATTCCTTGCTTCCCAAATTAGAGTGGTAGCTGATAGTTTCTTTGAATGAATGAATTATGATGAGCATTTTCTTTCACAGGCCCAGTGCCAAACTATGCCATAGATTTCTAGATATTTTAACCAATATAGAAAAATATGTATCATGTGCCCATACTCACTACCTTGTACAGCCTATTGCCACTTCCCAAATTTTATTGCAAATGATTTGTTATAAAATTATAAGTGAACATTTTGAAGTCTACTTCAATTTTCAGACTCCCCTTTTTTTTTAAGATTTATTTTATTTTTATTAGAAAGGCAGATATACAGAGAGGAGGAGAGACAGAGAGGAAGATCTTCCGTCCAATGATTCACTCCCCAAGTGACCACAATGGTCGATGCTATGCTGATCTGAAGCCAGGAGCCTCTTTGGGTCTCCCACGCGGGTGCAGGGTCCCAAGGCTTTGGGCCGTCCTCTGCTGCTTTCCCAGGCCACAAGCAGGGAGCTGGATGGAAAACGGAGCTGCCAGGATTAGAACCGGTGCCCATATGGGATCCCGGGCATGCAAGGCAAGGACCTTAACCACTGTGCCATCACACCAGGCCCCAGACTCCCTTTTTGAAGTGATTGTTCCTGGAAATGGAGTTTGGTTCATGTTTTGGGTTTTCTCGATTGTTCTGAGAACCTAACATGGCTATAGACATGTCTTCAATAGTTGGCTGTATTTTCAAATTTTTTATACTTTTTTACTTATTTTATTTTTATTGGAAAGAGATTTACAGAGAGAAGGAGAGACAGAGAAAAAGTTTCCATCCACTGGTTCACTCCCCAGGTGACCTCAACAATGAGAGCAGCTGCAGGGTCCCAAGGTGCGGGGGTCTCCCCCACAGATTCCTCTAGTACCCCGTTGCCAGAGGGGGTGAGCCTGCTGCCCACCACCCAGCCTCCTGGCATGCAAGAGACAGGCAGGGTTCTGTCCAGCAGTTCCGGTTTATTTGGGAAGTACAGATTCTTATATAGGATAGGGACAGCCTCAGGCCAGGAATTTCAGGAATTCCAGGAGGGGAGAAACTAGGAGCCAATTACTAGGAGCTCGACTGAAGCCACCTCCCATAGGCCATGGGTAGGTGAGTGAAATGGCCCTGGCCAATCAGTCTTTCTTTGAAACAACGTGACCCCTGCCCTGGTTCACGCCCAGGGCTCTGTCCTTGGCCGCCATCTTGCTCACCACGTGTAACCCAGTGACCTTGACTGTTAGTTGCCATCTTGTTGACTTAGTGACCCCTTTGCCCCTGAGCCCCCCACCAAGACTTGGGCTGTCCTCTATTGCTTTCCCAGGCCACAAGCAGGGCACCAGATGGGAAGTGAGGCAGCCAGGATACAAACTGGTGCCCATATGGGATCCAATTGCATGCAAAATAAGAACTTTAGCCCCTAGGCTATCACACCAGGCCCAAGTTTTCTGTGCTTTTAGATGGAAGATGGTTGATTGATTTATAAGGCAGAGTGACAGAGAGGGAGACTCAGAGAGAAGAGACATCTTCCATCCACTGGTTCATTCCTTAGAGCCTTTTTGCAGCCTTGGTCTCCATATTTAGATCTCAAGAGTGTAGATTTGCCAGAGGCAGGGTCATGGCTAGGCTGGGAGGTCTGTGAGTCTGGAAGGTTGGATGGTGTATTTGTTGATTCTTCAATTCAGCTCATCAAGTGATACATCCATTTTATTTTTAGCACATCCCCTTCTCTGTCAGCAAGATCTGAACTGCTTACTGCTAGCAACCCTGTTGTAAAAGTAATGAACGTTTTTTTTGAAAATTCCACTGTAACTGAAAATGATGTGACTGAGTTAATTGAAAAAGCGACTACTAACTCACCTTTCGTGTCAAGTTATACTGGTAAGTATTAAATAACTTCACTCAAGTTTACCTAAATACCTGCTTTTTGGATACCTTCCCCTATTTGCCTGTGAAAAGGGGGCAATGACTGCATAACTGGCTGGGCAGCTGTCTCCAGATCTCTTTTAATGAACTTGTCCTCCCTTTCCTTTCCCACTTGCCTTCTCCTTTGCATTTATCTTCTGAGTCATCAACTGACCAGTTGGTTCCTCTCTTGGGAAATATAACTGATCAGAACTATCATCTCGGAACAGAGGAAGGTGAGCAAAGGAGAAACGAGGGCTTTGCACAATCAGAGCTTTGCAAGCATTTGTACAGTTTCAGCTGTTTTGCTTCACCTATAGGCTGATGCACAAGCCCTCAGCATAGCTCTAAAATTGGCATTTGCTGTGTTACAAACCACCCCAAAACTTAGTGACGTGAAATCACTACAATTGATTTTTTTCAACCTCATAATCCTGTCGGTCAGTTTGGGCTGGTGGTAACTGCTACTTTCTACTGGCCTCATCCAGGCTACTCTGACTCCTGTTGGACTCGCTTAGGCGCCTGCCATTAGCTTCTGGGTCCCTGGAAGGCAGGGGGTGCACAGCTGCACAGCTGGTCATCTCTGTTCTACAAGGTCACCCCTCCTGCTGACCAGCCTAAAGGATTTTAGGAGCACAAGAAGTTAAGGTCCAATGCACAAGAGTTTCTCAAATCTCTACTTGTGTGGTATTTACAACTCAGCTAAAGCTGTGATGTGGCACAGTGTGGGACAGCCCCATCATGGATCCAGAAAGTCATGAACACCTTGATGCCGTGACCCCAGTCAACCTCTCACAGCCGTATCAGGTGCTCCTCACCCAACAGGTGGCTGCCAGGGCTGGTCCAAGTGGATGTGTGGTGCAACAGGCAGCCCATGCTGGTTGCCAAGTCCAGAGGCCTCTTTTGGCTGCACTGGACACTGAGTCTGTCCCCTCATGAACTGCTTTGCCCAGCCCTCATGCTCCCTTCTCCTGTCCTGCCTCCTTCATCCTTCCTTTTGCTCTTTCTAAGCCTCTTCGCCTCCCAAATTTTTTACTTTTTAGTGATTGCAAGCTTCCTGGCCTAAGATGTAAAACTTCTTTCTCATTTTTTTTTAAAGATTTATTTATTTATTGGAAAGTCAGATATACAGAGAGGAGGAGAGACAGAGAGGAAGATCTTCCATCTGTCTGATGATTCACTCCCCAAGTGAGTGCAACAGCTGATGCTATGCCGATCCAAAGCCAGGATCCAGGAACTTCATGGGTGCAGGGTCCCAAAGGTTTGGGCCGTCCTCGACTGCTTTCCGAGGCCACAAGCAGGGAGCTGGATGGGAAGTGGAGCTGCCGGGATTAGAACCGGCACCCATGTGGGATCCCAGGGGCGTTCAAGGCAAGGACTTTAGCCACTAGGCCATGCCTGCAGGGCCCATTCTTTCTCATTTGAAAAAAAAAAAAAAAAGGAACACATTCTGCTCAGTTTTAGTTTCCTGACACCTTTTCCTCAAAAATTTATAAAATTTTTTGCTAATGTCTCCAGACTCAGAATGTAAATATCCTGGGATAAAACACATGCAATTCTATCAGAGAAAACAACAACAACAAAACAAAACAACAACAAAGAACAAGGGCTTCTCTGTTCCTCCTCCTTGGGTCACTTTTTACTGACACTCATTCAACTCTTTGGCAAAGTAGTCTAATTTCCTGGCCAAGAGGCTGGAAAGACATCACTATCTTGTTCCCATGTCACCGTTCAACTTCCACAGCCTTTCCACCAGCCCCTTGTAGTACATCCGCACCCCCACACACACCCCGTCCCTTCCTTTGTTCACTCATTTTCCACTTGAACCTTTTTTTCTTTGTCAGTTGAATCTGTTGTTGCTATTTTTGTCATTCTTGTTTATGCTAAGCCTATGTCCAATGGGCGTCTAGTCCTTCTCTGGTACATTTTCAATATTGTATTTTCAGAGACAGGACTCTCTCCACACTGGATTTGCTTCTCTCATCTAAGAATATTCTATACAAGCTATATTCCTTTTTTTTTTTTGAAGATTATTAAACATTTCAAATGCGGATTTACAGAGAGACACAGAGAGAGGTTCTTCGTCTTCTGGTTCACTCCCCAAGTGACTACAATGGCCAGAGCTGAGCCAATCCAGAGAGACAGGAGTTTGGAGCTTCTTCTGGGTCTCCCATGCGGGTATGGGGGTCCCAGTGACCTGGGCCATCCATCAGTGCTTTCCCAGGACATAAATAGAGAGGGGATTGGAAGTGGAGCAACTGGAACACAAACCAGTGCCCAAGGAATGCTGGCACACACATGGAAGATTAGCCTATTAAGACACAGAGCCAGCCCCTAGCTATACCAGATTTTTAAAAAGCCTGGCCTCCTCTCATGTCAATTTTTTAGAATTTATATATTTGAGGGGCAGAGTGAAAGAGAGTGCAAGCACTGACACCTATTGGTGCACTCCTCAGTGCTTTCAGCAACTAGTGTTGGACCAAGTCAAAGCTGAGAGCTACCGATTCAGTGCAGGTCTTCCCTGAGTGTGCTAGGGACCCCATCACTGGAGCAGGTATCATTGCCCCCAAGGTCTGCATTAGCAGAAAGCTGGAGTGAGCAGTCTGATTCAGGTACCAAGTGCAGGCACTCCAGTATGTCTCTCCTCCTCTCTTTATATCTGACTTTCCAATAAATAAATAAATCTTAAAAAAAAAAGTTACATGATACTAGCAAGGGGCAGCCAAATTATAAGCCACCTAACACATGAAAATGAGAACTTATTGATTTTTTTTAAGATTTATTTATTTTTATTGCAAAGTCAGATATACAGAGAGGAGGAATGACAGAAAGGTCTTCCATCCATTGATTCACTCCCCAAGCAGCCGCAATGGCCAGAGCTGTGCCAATCCGAAGCCAAGAGCGCGGAGCTTCCTCCAGGTCTCCCACGTGGGCGCAGGGTCCCAAGGCTTTGGGCCATCCTTGACTACTTTCCCAGGCCACAAGCAGGGAGCTGGGTGGGAAGTAGGGCCCATATGGGATCCCAGCGCATGCAAGGCAGACTCTAGCCACTGAGCTACTGTGCTGAACCCAAACCTCTTGCCTTGTAGAGGAAAATGCCTTCTCCTGCTCTCCATTTGAGCTGGGAGGATATTTTCCCACCTCCACACTGAAAGCTGTAGAATCTCTCTCGTTTTGTAGAAGTGTTTTCAAGTTATGGCTGATGGAGGAAGCTTGGGTACAAGTCAGGGTTTTTAGTGAAGGGTAGCCATACATCTTCTCCACCTGCTCCTATTCCCTCCTTTTATCCATCTTCAAATTCATCTTCCTACACACATTACTTACCAGCAGTCTTCTAGACTAACATTCTGAGGAGAATGCTTCCCCATGTCAGGCTTCTGCTCAGAATCTGCCAAAGGATTCTCTGGCTTATAGGATAAAATTCAACGTCTTTAGTCTGCCATTCAAATGCTGTTGTTTGTGAATGAATTTCAAAAAAGGATTATTTCTTGAAGCTCCTACAGCAGGCTATCATTTACAAAAAGCTTACTCAATTCTTTTTTTTTTTTTTAAAGATTTATTTATTTATTGGAAAGTCAGATATACAGAGAGGAGAGACAGAGAAGAAGATCTTCCATCCAATGATTCACTCCCCAAGTGAGCACAACGGCTGGTGCTATGCCAATCCGAAGCCAGGATCCAGGAACTTCTTCTGGGTATCCCACATGGGTGCAGGGTCCCAAAGCTTTGGGCCGTCCTCAACTGCTTTCCCAGGCCACAAGCAGGGAGCTGGATGAGAAGTGGAGCTGCTGGGATTAGAACCGGCGCCCATATGGGATCCCAGCGTGTTCAAGGCGAGGACCTTAGCCGCTAGGCCACGCTGCAGGGCTCAGCTTGCTCATTTCTTAAAAGCACCCATGTGAAACAGGATTTATGATGCCTGCTTTGTTGACAGAGGGGTTGTGGATGCCCCCTCCTTACAAAATTGAGTGATTCGAAGAGATCATGCCACAGCTAATAAATGGCAAAGTAAAAAATTCTCAATTTTATTTATTTTATTTGAAAAGTGGGTTTACAGAAAAGAAAGTGAGACAAGAGAAGGTGTTACAGAAAGATGTCACTCCCCCAAATGGCCACCACGGCTGCAGCTGAGCCAGCAAAGGCACATCAGATACACAGAGAAAAAGAGAGACAGAGAGAAACTTCTCCCATCTGCTGGTTCACTCCCCAAGTGGCTGCAATGGCCAGAACCAAGCTGCTTTGAAGCCAGAAGCTTTTTCCAGGTCTCCCATGTGGGTGCAGGGTCCCAAGGCCTTGGTCCATCCTCTGCTGCTTTTAGGTCGACAAGCTGGAAGGGAAGTGAAGCACCTGGGATACGAACTGGCACTCATAAGGGATCCTGGCACATGCAAGGCAAGGACTTTAGCCACTAGGTTACATCACCAGGCCCTCTTTGCTGCTTCTGAAGTGCCCCTGTTCACTACACTTTAACAACCTTGCCTGTTCTTTGTTCATATTTTCCCCCACTTTTTAAGATTTAGCTCAGTTCCCACTTACTTCATGATGTCATCTTTATTCGGGCTTTAAAAGAATATTTAAAAGGAAAAGATTTATTTATGTATTTATTTGCTTAAAAGGCAGAGTTACAGAGAAAAGGAGAGAACTCTGTCTGCTGATTCATTCCCAGCGTGGCTGGAACAGCCAGGGTCAGGCCAGGTAGGAGCCAGGAGCTTCTTCTAAGTCTTCAGCATGGGTGCTAGAAGTCCAATGAGTTGGACCAGCTTTTTCTGCTTTCCCAGGTCATTAGCAGAAAGCTAGATCAGAAATGGAGCAGCCAGTACACAAATTGGCACTCATATGAAATGCTGGTGCTCAGGCAATGACTTCATTCACTATGCTGCAAGTATCAGGCTATCTTTAGCTATTTGAGTGATGGGATTTCTGTTATTTTTTGATCCACAAAACCTTGTGCTGAGCTGCGAGTTGTTTGGTGCAACTCTACAAAGAGAACACCCAAAACTTACACCATTTCTGTAACACTTGCAATACAGCACAGAGGCAGGTGCAAGAGGGATCTTGAACTTGAATCTAATTGTATTACATTAACTGACTAAGGAAATAGTCATTGAAGAGATATTAGAGAAATTGATATCCGAATCTCAGATGGCTGTTTGCTAAATCAAAACATACTCAGGGCCCAGCATGATAGCCTAGTGGCTGGAGTTCTCTGCTTGTATGTTCCGTGATCCCATGTGCGTACTGATTCATATCTTGGCTGCTCCACTTCCCTTTCTGCTTGTGGCCTGAGAAGGCAGTGGAGGATGGCCCAGGGCCTTGGGACCCTAGACCTGCATGGGAGATTTAGAGGGGGCTCCTGGCTCCCGGCTTCAGATCGGCTTGGCTCCAACCATTGTGGCCACTTGGGGAGTGGGCCAGTGGACAAAGGGTCTTTCTCTATGTTTCTTCTTCTCTCTGTATATCAGCCTTTCCAATAAAAATAAGTAAATCTTAAAGATATATTTTTTTTATTAAAGATTTATTTTTATTATTATTTTTTCGTTGGAAAGGCGGATATACAGAGAGGAGAGACAGAGAGGAAGATCTTCCGTCCAATGATTCACTCCCCAAGTGAGCGCAACGGGCCGATGCCATGCCGATCCTTAGCCAGGAGCCTCTTCCGGGTCTCCCACGCGGGTGCAGGGTCCCAAAGCTTTGGGCCGTCCTCTGCTGCTTTCCTGGGCCACAAGCAGGGAGCTGGAAGGGAAGCGGGGCTGCTGGGATAAAACCGGCGCCCATATGGGATCCTGGGCGTGCAAGGCGAGGACCTTTAACCACTTGCACCACCGTGCCGGGCCCTAAATATATATTTAATATATGAATATATATATATTCAAAAGCAAAGTGGAAGAGTAAGGAGTAGGATGCTTTTACAAACTATTTTATCCATATTGTCTTGTTGAATGTATCTGAAGTCTTTGTGCCTTTTACACAGCTCAGAATTTATGTGATTTTCGTGGCTGTGTAAACAGCAGTGATAATTGCACTGATGGTCTTACTTGCACATGCAAAGAAGGACTGGAGAGACCTAACACCCTGGCCAGTTTTTGTGTTGGTAAGTGTTCTACCTGCTTCTGAATGTTATTTACAATTTCCACCCCTTTAAGTAAGACACAAACTTCCCTGCTCATTTGGGTCTAGGTGCTGGGGATTCTGCCTTTACACACAGGGTGAGGGAATCAGACCCTGACCAGGGCTGTTGAGATAGCTTCAATGGGAGTGTTAGTTATGGAGCCAGTGGGCACCCCCATTTCACTTAGGAAAGGCAATGTAACAAAAATGGTCTTCTGTCCCATGTCTCATTGGGGTTGGCGAGGTTTGTTTCTGAAAATTTTCTGTTTTGAAGCAACGTGTCCCAGAGACTGCAATGCAGAGAACAATAAGCAATGCTTAATGACAAAGGAGGATGAGAAACCCACCTGCGTCTGCCTAGCAGGCTACCGGAATAACAACGGGATCTGTCAAAAGTAAGAATGGTCCCTCCACTTTGGTCTTTTCGCCTTTTAGGGTTTGTAATACATAGACAGGTTTAGAGTCAGGAAGTCGGTCAGCTGGCCTGGATGGGTGGGATAGCTCTTCGTCCTGCTCTACACCACCCTCAGGAATTCATTCTGGGCATTCTCTGCATGGCGGGATCTGCAACAGGCAATACCTAGTGCCCAATGTACCAAGGGGCTAGAGATTAATGCCCCATTTTCAGGTGAGAGAGCAGGCAGCCGACCAAGTAGCATCACGCTCTGAGAGCATCCCCCTCTGCTTCCTACCTCTTGAGTTCAGCTTCCCCTGAGTTGCCAGGAGGCAGGAGAGTTCAGGTAGTGATAAACAAGACCAGAGCCGCCTGGAAGGTGCTCTCCTAGAGCCCAAGACACAAGGGAAGCTGGATCAGGACCAGGCCAGGGCAGAGGAAAAGAAGCAAAAATTCAGAAGTGAGATAGGCCAGGAACTCCTTATAGGGGCTCTTGAACGTGACTCCTCATTGCTCGCTATGTTTTAGGTGTTCATTCGGTTACAGTGGCGTGAACTGCGAAAACCGTGAGTAGTAAAGTCTTGCTGGTACAAACAACGAATGCAACATGGGAGAGAACATGAAACAGTGGTCATATTCAGAATCCTGTCTAGTTCCCCCACAATCTATCTGCCATCATAAAGAGAGAAAATCTACTTGCAATTTGTCTTCTGGGCCAGGCCATCTCATGGCTACTATGTTAGCACTGGTAACCAAAACAATAAGACTCAGCCCAAGGGGTGTGCTGGGTACCCAAACATATTGATTTTCTACATAAGTTTATATACGTGTTTTCTGCTAGCAATGTCAGTGGCAATAGTACTAGGCAGAGTAGAGCTACAAGAGGGAGAGTGGGTCCCCAGATCCATGAGGAACAAGTTTAACTCCAACTTAGTTCCTCTAGTTGCCCAGTAAGGTCAGACCTTTGCTTTGTTTCAGCTGAGGTTAACAGGGGAGGTGTGGTCCTTGGTTGAGAGCCCACTCCTCAGTGAGTCAAAAAAGATCGTGTCACTCTCATATGTGTGGTCTTTGAGATGAGGCTGCCTCTTCTGACAAATGTAAAGATCCAGTTGGCAGTAGACCCTACTACTAAGTCCAGCCCTTAGAGGGATCAGGGACCAGAGCCTGATGCTCCTCACAGGTTGGAGTCCCTGGGGACACATGGACCCATGCAGTAGACAGGTGGGGGCCAACCTGCCAGAGACCAACTATTCTTACTCTTCTCTAATTTAGCATTCCAGCTCATTCTCACAATCGTGGGCACCATTGCTGGCTTTCTCATTCTCATCCTGGTGATTGCAGTGATCTGCTCAGCAAGGTAGGAGATGGGGAACAGTGTCTGTTTCTGGGACACAGCACCACCCACATGACACTCTAGTGTCCCAGTGCACCCAGCCTCTCCTGAACAGGAGGTCTTCCACCTGCTGGCTCATTCCCCAAATGGCCACCATGGCCAGAACTGAACCATCCAAAGCTAGGAGCCAGGAGTCTCAGGGTCTTCCACGTGGGTGCAGGGGCCGCGGGATTTGGGCTATCCTCTACTGCCTTCCAAAGCCATAAGCAGGGAGGGGCCTCTTTAATAACTACTTATGTTTTTTCTTGCATTAATCTTCTTATAATTCTGTGTGTGATGCACAATCATGGAAGAAAATAGAGAAATGTGGAATAGTACAGAATATGAGAACACCAACCTGAAGCAACAAACATTTGGCATATCTTCCAATGGATTTTGATGCAAAAATGTCTTGAAATCCATCACACGCATTTTCCATAAATTTTTTGAAACCACTCCTGTACATGGATTTCAAACATTTTCCACAAAATAAACACTTTTCAGTTTTCCATGAATGTATCTTTCCAGATTATTTGCCATCTCTTTGGATGATAGTCTGTACATAATTTTTGTATCTTTACATCTTAAATGTTTTTGCTGACTTTTGCTTTTGCTTAACACTATAAGGTGACATTCCCACTGCTTTCTTATGGCATTCAAAATGCCTTGTTAGCACAATTGAATTTCACTGGTATTGTGAAATATGATTTCTTCCAGGTACTTGTCCTCTTGGAATCCTGTTACATGAGGTCTAAAAACCAACCTCTGTTGAGCCCTCTCAATTAAAAAAAAAAATTAAAGGTTTATTGAGTAATCTGAAAGAATTACACAGAGAGAGCCAGAGAAAAAAAGGTCTTCCATCCTCTGGTTCACTTCCCAAGTGTCCACAATGACCAGGGCTAGGGCAGGCCACAGCCAGGAGCTTCATCTGGGTGTCCCATGTGGATGGCAGAATCTGAAGAACTTGGGCCATCCTCCACTGCTTTCCCAGCCATGAATGAGGAGTTGGATTGGAAACGAAGCATGCAGGACTCGAACCTGTATGGGATGCCAGAGTTACAGATGGCAGCTATATGTTACGCCATAATGCTGCCCCTAAAAATATTTGAAACGCTGGCTGTGCATGACAGGTTCTCAGCTGGGCTCCTTAAGTTCTTTTCTCTTAAGGGAGGAAGAGTAGGAGCTTCTCATTTATTTTTCCAGCAGATATTTAGGTGTGTCAGAGGACCCGTTCTAAGGGATGGGAGTGCATTCATTTCTTTTCTATCTTACAGGTGCCGGTAAGGATCCTCTCTGGCTAAAACAAGCTACTTTTTCATTCTTTTCTTTTCTCCTCCTTTCCCCCTCTTCTCCCTTCTCTTCATCTTCTTTTTCCTCTCTCTCTTTTCTTTCATTCCTCTCTTCCTCCCTCCCTCCCACTCTCCTTCCTTCCTTCTTTCCTTCCTCTCTTTCTTTCCTTCTTTCTTTCCTTCCTTCTTTCCTTCCTTCTTTCCTTCCTTTCTTCCTCCTTTCTTCCTTTTCTCCTTCCCTCCATCCCTCATCAGACAGAGAAAAAGATTGCCCATTCATTGATTCAGTCCCCAAATGACCACAAGGTCTGGGACACATCCAGGTCAAGTTTAGAAGCCTGGAGTTTTATCCATATCTCCCACAAGGGTGGCAGGGCTATGCCTTCTACTCTGGGGTGGTCTGGCTCCTGGGACTCCAGGGTCTTCAAGAGCAGCTGTGGCATGTTATGAGACCTTGTGAAACTTTGTGGGCTGGTGCTAGTCCTGTATGTTAGTTCTTCCTGCTGAAGAGCCACATCTGCCCTCATCCCAGCCACAGTTCAGGTTTATGCCCAGAAGTTTAGGCATCTACCCTGAGTGGTATTACGAAGTTATAATGAGTAATGGGGCATCAAGCCTGCAACTTCTCCTGAAGTGGCTGAAAAATGCTAACAATTGGGAAAACTCATGTGATGGGTATATAAGAATCCTGTGTATAATTTTCTGTCACTGTCCGATCCTAATTTCTGTTCCTGGTTATAGGTCTAACAATAAAGGCAAGAATATTGAAGAGCAGAACTTGATTGACAATGACTTTCATGGCTTCAAGCTACAGCAGACTACAGGTTTCACCAACATGGGAGCAGATGGGGGTTTCTTCCCCAGAGTCAAGACAGGGGCCTCCCAAAACGTTCATCCACAAAACCCCTACAGCAACCCGAGAAGTCTCCCTGGCCGCGACTATTAGGTGAGCTGTGGGACTCCACAAAGAAGCCCCAGGCAGACCAGAGAGGCCGCTCTGCCCTGACTGCTGAGCGAGCTCTGGGCCTCCCGGTGGCTTTGGGGGCTACGGTGGGGACCTCTGGTTTTGTGTGTTCTCCTGGCCACAGCTGCCCTGCAGGCTTGCTTGGTTTTTGATCAAAAGAGAATGGTGAAGAAGAAAGTTCTTTGCCACCACTTAGCCTCTAACACTGACATCTGGGTCGCTTTCCAGACTTCCCTTCATCTCCCTGGCCTTCTGTTTCCTGCCGTAAGTGCCACTTACTTCATATGCCCTTAAGGTCCTTTTATTGGAAACCTCCAGGTAGAGGGCTCCGATGATTGTGATGATTCCCAGGCTGTTGAAGGGGGCCAGGGAAGGATGCTGGATGTGACCAAGTCTCCCTCCTGTTGGGGACTGTGTAAAGGCAGGGATCTCTCCCCCGATCCCCAGACCTCCAGGCAACTCAGCCAGTTTCTAAGGAGACAGGTTGGGCTGGGGATGTTTTACCGGCCTTGGAAGGACTGCCAGGACAAAAAATTTGTGCTCACTAAATTTCTGTTGGGTCGATACCGACTCAGTGGTGTGAATGGTGACAAGAGGAAGCCTGTAAGAGGTGACTGAGGGACAGGAGCCAGAGGAGACAGTGGCCAAGTCAGAAGCAGAAAAGAGGCCAGGTGAGACGAAAAAAAAAATAAGGAAAAATAGGTGAAAAAATTGAAGAAGGCTTAATGTTCGGTAATGTTGATAATGGATTGTTTAAGTTTGTGTAAAGGTTTCTGTTGGAACGTTCCTTTTCTAAGAGTCTTTCTCTCTGTATCCAGAATGGTAGAATTTTGAAGTTGACGCACACACCTGACCTAATACGTGAGCTGCTGTTTGAGTGTTTGGAGAGACTGACTGACAGGTACCGACGCGGCCTCCAGGGTTTCTCTTCCACCCAGTACCTGCTGGCCTTCCTCTCTGAATACAAGTTGTGAATGCCATGAATACAGCTCACCTCCCTCCCCTCTAAGACTAAGTATCTGAAATTAAACGCACAGGGATACTCTTAGCACTTGGTCAGATGGATGATTTCCTCCAATCAGAACAGACTCTCCAGACAAAGTTGGGTCTTTCTGCCTGTCGGGCTGCAGTCACCATTTTCTCAATGCTGGCCCCTCCTGGGAGGAGTTGGTGCCTGCCCCAAGTCAGGAGCCCCCCCGGGCAGGGGCGGGCAGAGGCACCCCCTTCTCCCAGGAGACTTGTCCTCCTGCCATCCTCTCCTGGGGCTCACTCTCTGGATGAATTCAAGTAGGGCTACTGCTTCCTCCAAGCTAGGGTTTTTGGCTTCCTTGGCACTGCCAGGAGCTTGCAACCTGGCCTCACCTGGAGGAAATCCAGCTTTTGCAAAGAGGACGCACTGGATATCCAGGAACTTCCCGAGGTGGAATAGTCAGGAAGCTTGCATTAGAGAAGCTCTGTGGAGTTCCTCTAAAGGTCTCAGTGCTGGTCCACGGAAGGGGCAGGACAAAGCCATGCAGAGGCAGCCAGCTCCCACCCCTCCCATGCACTTCCCCCTGCACTGATCTTTCTTCTGATTCATAGCCTCCCAAGACCCGTGCAAATGAGAACTTCAGGAGTAAGAGCCTTAGCTACCTTTACAATTGCTGCTATCTCGTTTGGCTGAGGCTGGGAGAGGGAGCTTGTGTTGGGAGTGGGAGAAGAAAAATGTCCAGATGTCCAGGCTCAGCACACGGCCTCCAGAAGGACCTCACTGGGGCCTACCTCCTCTCAAGAGAGAGGCTCAGTTAAGCCCCTGCGCCCCATTCCCTCCTCCAACACCCCCAAGAATGGGGACAGCCACAGGCAACACGGGTTTTACAGAATACAGTTAGCACCCCTTTGTTTATTTCTAGTGTCCAGTCTCCCTTGGCAGGATATTGGTATCCATTGTTGTTATTTGTTCTTCGCTCTTAATTGTGAAAGGCAATGCAATAAAATTGTCTTTGAGAGACATGGTCTCCTTTCTTGTATGTGTGGTGGTGGAGCAGGTTGGTGATGTGTACAGTGGAGGAGTTATTTTAGATAGCAAATGACACGACAGACCCAAGTGACTGACATCTGTTGTCTTCACTAGGGACTGTCGGATCACCCACCAAGGGAGACATTTTGGCTTACCTTGCCCATTTATACATCCCAGCCTCCCCATGTGATGGTTAAATTGGGCTGTCGACTTGAGTAGATGAGTTCCAACAAGGTTAGTGTGTGAGCCGGAGAGGACTGGGACCAGAGGGGAGACCCGCCTGCAGTAGAGGCGGGCACTGTCAGACTGGCAGAGGCTGGGGGGTCTGGAGAGAAGGACTTGGGATGGCAAATGGCTCTCCAGCTCTAAGAGCTGGCATGCACTTGACTCCTGCCTTGGACAGCAGGACCTCAGCACTGGGCTTTGGACTCGTACTGATGCCAGCACCTGCTTTTCCAGGTGCATCAACAGGAAGGAAGATTGAAAGTGGAGCTGCCGGGGGGACTTGAATCGGCATGCCCATGGGTTGCCAGTGTTGCAGGTGTCAGGCCACTCAACTGTGTCATAACACTGCTTTCTGTGCTAAAGATTTTCTCTCTGTGCGGTAACCTTAGACAAGAGCTGTCAGAGTGAGCTCAGCAGATGCAAATCTAACGGGGAGATTCCCTTGTTGAACACTTAGAGGATTTCTCCACAGAGAATATGGTGCTCATTTTCCAAAGCCAGATTCCTTGTGACATAACCCCTGCTCCCTGCCTGCTTGTATGGTTGCTGCCTCCTGACCCAGCTTTGCCTCCTGCCCCACCCCACAGCGCACTCACATGGCCTGTTCCCTCCTACACCATCACAAGAGTATTATAGTGAATTTGGGGTGGGGAGGACCCAAATGCTTACTTAGACCACAGCAGGTCACAAGTGTCTCCATCTGTCTAAGTCAGCCTAGGCCATCAGTCACCTCCCTGGCCAGCTTGCCCTAATCCCACTCCTTTCTCCCCAGCATGCTTGAATGGAAGGGCCATCCCTGTCGCGTCCCAGCTGGGTCTTGTCATGGGTTTCCTGGAGAGGAGGCTGCTTGCAGTGAGTCTGTGCTGCTTCTCCCTTCATACAGGGCCTGGGGTGGAACAAGTATTAACTTACTGTGACACAGGAGCACAAAACAGACCTGTTTCAGCCTAGCTGGGAACAATCTGTTCACATCCTTGATTGTGGTCTATGGTCTTGAAACTGGAATCTTGTCTAGCAGGACACTGCCTGTCAGCACTGGTTCAATCAAGCTGGGTATTTAAAAGGAGACGACGGCCTCTCTTCAGAAGGCTCCTTCAGGCCTGGTGGGGTACACCTTGCAGGCACACAGGCTGGCACAAGATAGACGTTCATAGCATCATTGTCTTGAATCTCCACATTAGACTGTGGTTTCTCTGAGCTCTGCTTTGGGTGAAGCCAGCTGGGGATGGGCTGCTTGCTGTGCTGACAGCTGCTAATCTCATTTGTACATTGAGGGTTGTGCAAGTGGGCCTGCCTCCCATCTCCCATAACTGCATGGGACTCAGCCAGGCCTGAGTGTGGGGTTTCAGCTCCCAGTGATTCTAGGGTGTTAGGTCAGTGGTCAAATTTGAGGTTCATCTTTTTCTACACTTTTCTTGAATTTAGAAACAAACAGTTCACCGGGCACAGGATGCTCCAGTGGCTTTAAAGCCTCTTTATGGAGAAGTGGTCAGGTATACATATGACATCAGTACCAGGACTGCTTAAGACTGAAATCTTTGGGATAGATTTGCCTCAACTCTGAGCCTGTCCTAGCTGCCGGGTGATCCAGGTAACCAGTAGGTGGCACTGTCCCCTACCACTTGCAGGAACCTTGTTAGAACTCCTTTTTTTTGTAATTATTTTATTTTGATAATCTTTACATAATTGATTAAGGCACAAAGGGTCAAGGGCTACAGGAAAGTGGATAAGACCATTGTTTTCACATTATTATTATTATTTTCAGCATCTGGGGTAGGGGGAGAAATAAAGGGAGAAGCCCCACCCAGCCTCCCACCCATCCCAGGTCCCTGATGTAGGGCATGCTCCGAGGGTCCTGCTCAAGTGGTTTTGATAATTCAACAGTTCTGAATTGCTGCCAGTCTCGCCATTCTGAGCACAATGAAATCTCTCCAGAATCCATTGGCTAACATAGTTCACCGGAGTCTCCATTTGCCCAGATTTTCACTGCCAACACATGGCTGGGGTAGTTGATTGATTTGTTCTGTCCTCTGTTGTGGTACCAAGTGTCCTCTGCAGGTTCTGATGGACTGCCATATCCTCCATGTGCATCTGGATATGCTGTCCACTGTTCTGTCTGAGCCTCTGAAGAGGCTCAGCTTTGACACTTGCACTCCATGGTCAGACCATGGAACCTGCACTTCTCTTCATGGTTGGGGTTCTGAGATCAGCAGTTCAGTTGGAGGGATCCAGAAACTCCTTAATTCTAATGCACCAATTCTAAATAATTTCCTCCTTGACTTTCTCCTGGTCACTTCATTTCTTGCTCTGTGCCAGAAAACCATGAATGCCAGTTCACTCTGTTGGAAATTGTTGCATCATTTTCCCTGGAGACCGCAGAAGGAATGTTAATGTCATGTTAATGGTACCTACATAGTTGGCCCAATGATTCAGATATAATTAGCATGTTACTTAGCAGCTGACTTTACAGAATGAAAAAGGAGCTAAAGCCATCTGAAAAAAACTTCTCAGTTAAGATGAAAACAAAATGCCAAGCATGCAAGGTTGCTGTCTTTCATCACTTTTTATGAGGGAAGCAAAGACTTTTCCCCAAACATGCTCTGGCAGCCTTGACTTTCATTAACTGACAACCCGCAGTGCCAACGTGAGTTTAGAGAGAGCCTGCAGTGGGTGTGGGGGGTCTTTTCCACCTCTGGGCTGTGAAATGCTGCTCTTTCATCCAAGGACAAATGCTTGGGGCAAACCATCAAAGGCCACT